TGGACCCACAGGCTTTGCTTTCTCACTTTTCCTTTCTCTCTCTCTAGTCAAATTTAAAAATAATCATAACAAATGGAATTAAATAAAATTTTTAAAAATAATTATTTTATTTAACTTTATTTATTATTATTATTAGTTTTAATTTGACCAGAGAAAGACAGAGAGAGAGAGAAAGAGAGAGAAAGCAAGTTGCTAGTTCCAAGACTTGAACCGTGATCAGCCATGTGGGAGTCCAGTGTAAACACCATGCCACATGCCGGCCCCTCTTCTTAAACACTTTTACATTAAGCTTTCTTTTTGAGAATATTAATTTCAACATTCTGTGTGGAAAGCAGGAAGCAAAATTATATATACAATTTGACTGTAATTATGGAAAATAAGATCCACTGAAAATGTATGAAAAGGGATATAACAAAATGATAAGTTTGGTTTTTGAAGGAAGAGGTAAGAGATGCTTTTTTTGTTATTATTCCTGGTTTTCTGTATTTTTCATAATACACAAGATTGCTTTTATATGATCATCATTGTCATTAACAACATAAAAAATCATGTATTTCTTTAAAAATGAAATTGTTTTTATTTCTTAGATTCCTAATTTTCCATTTTTAGTGGAGTACTTAAGAATTTTATGGAAACAAAGACTGATATTTTTAATACTTGATTAGTTAGAATAAAAACCCATAAAGAAAATTTCACCATAAATTCTTGGAACTTCTTTTTTTTTTTTGGAGAGGTTTTGCTAGGCGTGAGCTGCCAGAAAGACAGAGAGAGACAGAGAGACAGAAAGTGAGAAATCACCCCCAGGGGGGATGGTCACGCCGCAATCCCTTCTCCTCCATTCTCCTCTCAGGATCTTGGGCACGCACGCACACGTGCCCGGCGTGAGTTTTAAGCCACCAGGTCCGGGACACGAACCGCGGTCGACTACGTGGGAGTCCAGCGACATAGCCATTACGCTAACTGATGGCTCCCGAGGCATTTCTGTACGTCCAAAATACCAAAAGATCCAATCGTTTACAAAGAAATGTAGAGTCAATAATAGAGATATTTTATCTACATAATGCTAAATGCCTGAATTGATTGTACTGTGACAATTTTTTGGAAAATTTTGTAGCTAGAACTGACATGTAACAAATGTGATTGTTTAAACCCTGTCTCCTCCATATCAAAGTTATCAATAATAAAGCAACAACTTTAGTCAACCAGATAGTCCTTTTGTCTAAACAATTTTACACCATACGTTTGAATAATTTATTTCATTGAATTTATCCAGTGTTTAGAGGCTTCCTAAAATATAACTGAATCTTTCAATAAGAGGGAAAATAGACTCTGGCTGGAATTTTCTGCATAGGGGTATACGTTTAAACCAAAGAAACAAACATCAAACTTACATTGTCCCTTGAGTATAAATGCTCTTCTATTTCCTTTTCAAATGTAGTTCTTTTAAACTAAGCATATTTGACTTTAATAACTTGGTGAAGGAGATCTGGCACAGATAAGAATTTATTAAAATGTAAATTAAATGTGCCTAAAAAACAGTGAAAAGAAAATATTAAAATAAAAGCCTTGGGTTATAAAATGTGGAGATTTGAACCCTTTAGAAGCTTTAAGAAAAAAACTATTTTAGAAGAGGACAAAACCAGATCAAGGGTTATTAGTTTTGGACAAAACTGGCTCCTCTTCACAGCTCTCATTTCTGTTCCTCAGGGCACCCAAACTTTGGTGCCATATTGAATTGCCCTCTTGTCATTTTTGTGCTTCTGTGTTCACATTGTACCCTTTTTTGAAATGTCTCTCTGGTTTTCATGCTACTTTAAATGTTCCTGGTAAAGTATCTTACTCGCTTGTGCCTGTATCATTACCAACAACTTCTAATGTGGTTTTTCTGCCACTAGTATCTTGCCTTTCAAATCTGCGTTCTCAACAGTTGTGAGATTTCTCATCCCAAACATTGCTTTTATCATGGCTGCTCTCTGCTCGCCCCTCACATTCTCTTGCCCCTTCATTGAGTTCAAACTCCTTTCTCTGCCTCATGCTTTGGATCTTCCAGAGACTTCTCTCTTTCCTTTCCTTTCACACACATACACACACGTGCATGCACACATACTTCTATTAATTCAGTCTTACTTTCTACTATTCAACCAAGTCACTCCATCCCATAAAACCGCCACACTATGTGCCCCTCCCTGCTCCCTTTCCAAACTTACACCATTCTTTTTTTTTTGAGAGGTTTTCGCTATAGGGCGCGTGCATTCGCCAGACAAACAGAGAGACATAGAGACAGAAAATGAGAAATCACCCCTCAGGGGGTATGGTCATGCCGCAATCCCTTCTCCTCCATTCTCCTCTTGGGATGCGCCCGGCGTGAGTTTTAAGCCAACCGGTCTGGGACACTAACCGCGGTCGACTACGTGAGAATCCAGCGACATAGCCATTACGCTAACTGCTGGTTCCCCAAACTTACACCATTCTCATCCTAGCCACTATGTCAGTTCATTTGCACAGAATGCCAACCCTCTTGCCTTTTACTTTTCAAATTATCTTCACCCCTCCAGTGTCTTTTCAAATGCTACTCTTACCATAATAATTTTAACCACATGATTTTCCTTCTTTTCTTCAAACTACCATCCCATATATATCTAAGACTGAGTTATGGCCTGCCTTTGTAACAGGCTACTTCTTCATTGTGCATAACTGTCTTGGACATGGCATGACATTAGGCACCCCTCACTCCCAGATGCTGACAGTGATGTTAATATGATAACTCCAAATGTTCTGAATACATTTCCAAATGCTCTAATTATTAAGAAAATTACTATTCCATATACACAACTGTTCCGCAAATAATTTTCATCAAAGCACTGACTATATATTTTAAAGTACAAATATATAGCTCCCTTAAATTCTGACTGTATATTTTAAAGTACAAATATATAGCTACTTGAAATTCCCAACATATTAAAAAGCAAAGGAGCCTAATTAACACTAGGACTAAGTGTTGCTGATCACCACTCCACTTGAGGTGTTCCTAAGATATTTCTTTGTCCCCTCATGCTGATCCTGGATCTTGCTATTTCTCTCACTTTATAGGTAAGGAAAGTAGGCTTATAGAGTTCTGCTTATTCAAGGTCATAGCTTGACTGGAACCTTGGCATTTAAACCCAGGGCTGTTTGGAGCCAAATCTTTGCCTTCTAATCACCTTTATATGGATGATTAGAAGGCGCTATAAAGACAGCTCATTGGTAAAAAGCTTTAAAATGAGTGTGTGTGTACATGTAACATAATTTGCAATTTAAAGCACATTATTAATGTGCCTAGGTACTAATGCCTATAATTGTAAGAAAGGACATTAAGAAAAGACAAATAATTTTTTAGAAGTTATAACAAGAATATAAATTAGAGTCTAATGAATACATTTATTCACTGATCTTCCTTGCTGCAGATATTAATCCATATTTAGTCTCTAATTGAGATGTACATATTCTTTATTTGCTTGTTGTATTTGTTAATGTTTGTCTTGGCAGATGGTCAGCAGATCTCTTTACATTTCTATTTATCAAATTTTGGATAATAGATGGCCAAATGTGACCTGGATTAGGCAGC